GTTTTAATCAATGCCTTTACCATTTCCAGTTCGCTTTCGGGCACATCAAAGATCAATTCGTCATGTACCTGTAGTACCATTTTTGTTTGCAGCTTATGGCTTTTCAGCTCCTTCTGTACTGCGATCATGGCCAGTTTAATCATATCGGCAGCGGTACCTTGTATGGGCATATTGATGGCGTTGCGCTCTGCAAAACCGCGCACCGTTGCATTGGCGCTGAGTATATCGCGGAGCCAGCGCTTCCGGCCCAGGAAGGTCTGTGCAAACTGGTGCTCACGGGCGCGCTGGATATTTTCATCCATATATTGTTTGATACCCGGATACTGCGTAAAATAATTGTCGATGGTTGTCTTGGCCTCCGACCGGGAAATGCCGAGCGTTTCAGAAAGGCCAAAAGCACTCTGCCCATAGATGATACCGAAGTTGACGCCCTTGGCTTTACGGCGCATATCAAAATTTACATCCGCCTCTTCGACGCCAAAAACCCTGGCAGCCGTAGCGGTATGAATATCTTTGCCGGCCTGGAAGGCACTGATCATGCCTTCGTCACCGGAAAGCGCCGCAATAATGCGCAGCTCAATCTGGGAATAGTCGGCAGATACCAGGTACCAGCCATCAGCACGGGGTACAAAAGCCTTTCTTATTTCCCGTCCGCGATCCGTGCGGATAGGAATGTTCTGGAGGTTGGGGTTATTACTGCTGAGGCGCCCGGTAACGGCCACCGTCTGGTTAAAGGAGGTATGTAACCGCCCGGTTTTCCGGTTGATCAGCAGAGGCAGTGCATCAATATAAGTGCTCTTTAGTTTGGTAAGCTGGCGGTAGGTAAGGATGTCTTCAATGATCGCATGTTTATGTTGCAGCTTCACCAGAATTTCTTCCCCCGTTGCATATTGACCGGTTTTGGTTTTTTTGCCACCGCCCTCGATCTTCATCAGATCAAAAAGCACTTCCCCCAGTTGTTTTGGAGAACCCAGGTTGAAGCGAACGCCGGCATGGAGATATACCGCTTCTTCGGCTTTCAGAATATCCTGTTCCAGTTCTTTGGAATAAGCTTTCAGAAAGTTATTATCGATACCTACGCCTTCATATTCCATATCCACCAACACAGGTACCAGCGGGTTTTCAATCTCTTCAAATATATTACGAACGTCCTCCTTATCCAGCATAGGGTTGAAGGCATGTTTCAGTTGCAGCGTAATATCAGCATCTTCAGCGGCATATTCTTTCACCTGGTCTACCGGCACATCACGCATGGTCTTCTGGTCCTTCCCTTTTTTACCGATCAGCGTTTCAATGGAAACGGGCTGGTATTGCAGGTACTTGACACTGAGGGCATCCATATTACGCTTGCCTTCGGGCTCCGTTACGTAATTGGCCAGCATGGTATCCCATAAATTACCTTGCGGCTCAATGCCGTACCACTTCAGCATCAGCAGATCATACTTGATATTTTGCCCCACCCAGGTAATGTCTTTCCGGTCAAACAAAGGGTGGAAGCGGCTTAAAATCTTGTTGGTCTCGTCCTGGTCGGCAGGAAGGGGTATATAATGGGCATCGCCCTGAATCCAGCAAAAGCTAAGCCCTACAAGCTCTGCATCATTTGCATCAAT